GGGCCCAGACTGCTTATCTTCCCATCTCATGCAAAAGTAAATGCCGCTGACTAGTAGTTTCAATTGTTTTTCTTTAATGGAGAGGGTAGGACTGAACAGGAGAGGGAAGGCATTGGCAGGGCATTTCTGGTAAGGAAAAGGAGGCACAGAGAAGCAAAGCGATTGTTCAATCAGATGGCAACTGGAAGAAAAGCCAACTCGGGACAACTGCAGGTGTCCCCAACTCGCCCAGGTCCGAGCCCCAGAGTTAGGGCTGTGGCTTCCACTCACTGGCACCCACCAGGCCCCTCAGGCGTGCATTCCAAGGTGGCCTGAGAGGTGCCAAACAGGGTCTGGTGGGGGGCCTGAGGCTTTGGAGCCGAAAAGCAACATGCACCCCCTTCCCCAAAAGCCTCAGCCGGGAGAGGTGGCCTCAGCTCAATGGAACCCACCGAAACGCTCATTCATTTGTACTTTGTCCTCATCTTTACCGAGAATACATATTTATTTATTTTAAAAATAACTTGTAACATTAAATTTTTGGATTTTTTTAAATTTTTTTTTTCCTTTTTGTCTTTTTTACTGACCGGTAACGGGATCACAACCCTCAGTGTTGCACCCACACCGCGCTCAGCCAGTGAGCGGGAACCAGTCTCCACATGGGATCCGAACCCTCGGCGGGAGCGCCACCGGGCCGGCCCTAATTTTTGATATATTTTTTTTTTTGTCTTTTGTCTTTTTCCATGTCCGGCAACGGATCGCAACCCTCAGTGTTGCCCCCGTACCGGACCGGGGACCGGCAATGGGATTGCAACCCTCGGTGTTGCTCCCGCGCCTCGCTCAGCCAGTGAGCGGGAACCGGTCTGTATGTGGGATCTTATCCAGTGCGCCACTGGGCCGACCCTAATTTTTGATTTTTTGAGTACGCCATTTTGCTCTGGTTCATGCCACTTTGGCTTGTCTCATTAATTTACATTTTTTGCTCTGCAACTCGAATTTCTTGTCTTTTATTTTGATATCTGCCTTTTAAATGATCTATTTATCTCATATTATTTATTTTCTACTTTATACTTATTATCTTTGAAACTCCCCTCTTTTAGTTGCTTTCACTTCCTCCCTTTAAACTTTTATAATTTATAGTCTTGATTTTTATTTCTTACCTTTTAAAAATTGCAACTACGTTCTGACTTATTGTATATACTTATATTACTTCATTATTTTTGATTTTTAATTTTTCACCCAGGATTTATTTTAGCTTTTCACTTAATTAGTGTTTTAACTTTCTACGAGGTAATTTTGGACTAACAGAAGAGTTGTAAAAAATAGCCCAAAGGTGCATTTAGTTATTTGTTTTGTTAAATACCTTTGAAATTCTTTTAAAATATACTTCTCTGTTTCTTCTTTCTAACTTTAGGTTACCTTTGTCTCTTTTAATCTTTCCTTTTTATATCTGTAACTGTTATACTTTTTTTCATCATTTTAACTTAAATTTAATCCTTAATTTAATTTTCATTCTTTTTATTTGTGCTTCTGCATCCCCTTCTTTGTTGCCTTTTATTTATGTTCTCACTTTTATTCTAATTTTGTTTGCATTCTTTAAGTCTCTAATTTTCCTTTATAATTTATTAATGGTTGTTCCCTTATGTTGGTTTTTATTTCACGAGATGTCTCTCTTTTCTTCTTTTTTTAAATTTTTGGTGGCTGGCCAGTACAGGGATGGAACCCTGGACCTTGGCGTTATCAGCACCACGCTCTAACCAACCGAGCTAACTGGCCAGCCCCTCATGAGCTGTTTTTCAGTGGCACACAGAAGTGGCAGCAGTGGGTGAGTTGTCAAGGGTTAGGAGAACCACCAACCAGAGAGGACAGGGACCTCTCTCCTTCTGGCTTCCACTGCATCTTGCTATCTGGGTTCTGTGATCAATTAATAATGTCTGCCATGGGCAAGGCGTAGGGAGCATAAGACAGCATTCCTGCCATCTATTTGTTATTCCTTCCTTAATGCTGTTCTTACCCTGTCCAAGTTGTCTTTAGGAAAAAAAAACCAAAAAACTTTTTTTTTTTAGCCTCGGGCAACTTAGGTGTTCAAGATAATTAAAATATTTTCAGAACAATAACAATTGCCCCCATGCAGAAGTCATTTTTTAAATCACAGGTATAATGGTATTTCCTGATGTTATGCATTCTCCAAATACTTTGAGTTGCTGAATGTTCTAAAATCCATAGTCTCATCTCTGACAGGTATTGGGCAAGACACAAATGGTGGCCTACAGGGCAGGAGGGTCCTGCCTCCTGGGGCAGAACCTCTACCTAACACTTCCAGACTGACGTTGGCAGTGGGACAGCCAGGCTCTGGCACTGTGTTTATACCAGCCGGGCCACTGGCATGCTCGTGCCCAGCTTCACGTCTCTCCCTTCTAGGCAGGACAACATGTGTGTGGGTGTCTGTGCTCTCTTCTCCATGTGTGATATAAGATAAGAAGCTGGGAGAGTTTGCAGGATCTGGGAGAGTTTTAAGAATGAGGTCAGCGGGACTCGTGCTGGGTGGGGCAGACGGTGGGTGGCTGGGGGCCCACTTAGGCAGCTACTGCCTGCACGGAGGAGGAGACTTTTTATTCTCACTGAGACCCTCATCCCCAGTGAGAGCTCGTGGGCAAGGCACCTGAGGCTGAGCTTCTCCAAATCTTCAACAACTCCCCAAAGATGAGCAGGACTTTATTTTGGGAAGATCAAAGCCCCTGCTTATCCTTCAAGACTTAGGACGTGCTGGTGATTTTCTCTACCTCGAGATATGCTGATGGTCTTCTTCCCTTAGAAAGCCCCAAAACATAAGAACCCTCTTCTAAGAGGAACAAGTTCCATTATCTAAGACTGCAACTACTGCTCCCCACCCAACTCTAGGAAGTAATGCCTCTCTCGCCACTTTCCGATGAACCTCTCAGGCTGTCCCTGGAGCCTACTTCCTCATCACAGGACCAGTCCACGAGTCACCTCATCTGGCTGCCTTGCCAGGAGCCCCACCCTGGAGTGGTGTAATTGGCCTAGAAGCTTGAGGCCTCCCAAACTGGCCCAGGTGAAGCAAGCCTGCTAATGCAGGTTAGCCCATCCAACTTGCAACTGAGGTTTTAGTGAACATGAAGAAGTTTAACGAGCCCAATGGCT